CACGGAGAGCCTGAGAAAGCCACGGTTGCTGCTCCTGCTGCCGCCAGGATGGAGGGGAGGGTAGCAGCAGCGGCCGCCGCTGGGAAGGGTGCCCCATCCGCTCTCCGCTGGCTGCTGTCCTCCTACCCGCCCGTTTTCCTTCTTTGCCCAAAGAACTGCCCTGGTGACCAAGGTCTCCAGGGCTAGGCAGTGGGACCCTGCTTTTGATCGCCTGCATTTAAAAGGCTATTTTAGAACTGACTTTTAAGAACTGGAATAGAGAAGTAGGAGGAAAAAAATCAGCACAAACTCTTATGATGGCATGGCAATGGCTCTCAAACGAATAGGGGCAGATGTTTACTTCTTTCTAAATGTCAGCAAGGAGCAATAAACTTCAGTTTATTAGTGACACCTCTCCACTGTGGAAATCTGAATGTAGTGACAGCTATGACCTCAGGGTTACATTGTTCCCAAGAATATAGATAGCAGGAGAGTTAAGGCTTATAGATACTTGACTTTTCCACACTAATAACTTTATACAAGGTGAATCAAAGGTGGGTTATGAATCATGAACTTTTTTATTTAGCTTTTGAATGATATTTAAAGTTCACATCTGCCTTTAAAATGTAAATTTCTACTCCAGGAACTTGTCGTAAAGAAAAATAATGGGGTACGGCTGATGTGACCGATGTGCCTGATCTTGTTTCAAAAATAAATAGAGTCAGTCTTCAAAATAAGCCTATTTTCAGCCTTGTGTTTTATAAACAAAACATGACCAAATCTGGAGAATATTTTTGCAGCAAAGAAAACTGGTCGATCACCTAAGGGCTGAGTTGTCAAAAGATTTCTAAAATTTTCAGGGCTACTCATATGCTTTAATATAAGCACACTTCGAATTGTTTCTCTGTACTGACACAGGTGCAGTTTAGAGGCTTGAACCTCAACTCCAGCTTCATCCTCACTACAGGGAAAAAAAAACAAAACCCAAAAGAATTTATACAGGATTTTATTGAAACATTTCTCTGAAGAAGTTGTATGTCTTATTACACACATTTTATTCCTGTTGAATGATACAATGTACAAAGACATATAGCTATGTATGTAAGAAGTTGTATGTCTTTTTCCACACATTTTATTCCTGTTGAATGATACAATGTACAAAGACATATAGCTATGTATGTATTTGCATAATCAGCCTCTGATTTTTGTGCCTCACTTACCCAATGTATCCTAAAAATGAAAAGCGGGACTGTAGCTAAAAAGTGTAGGAACATTTGTATTAACACATGCATTGTTTATTGTTTCTGAGGTGTTAAGTAAATGTTCATTTTTAAATATAAATGCATTTTACTGACATTATTTTTATTATATGTTTATTATAGATACATTACATAGTAACAAAGACTTTAGTAGAAATGAATACTTTAAATCAATTTGTTGGATTGTTAAATGATTTCTCTTTCCTGAAACAAAAATGTACCAGTGTAAGTCAAGTATTTTTATTGTTGGAACCATATAAAAAATAGGGTACCCAACCATTGGAGTGAGCAAAAGGAAGGACATCCTTGTGATGTTTTTTCTCAGTAATAATCTTCTGGATTAAGCCACTGAGGAGTAAACATGTAGGTCTAGACTTAACAGGGTAGTTAGGTTCCCAGCTCCTTTATAGATTTCTTCTGCCATTTTTCCCATTGATTGCTATGGAAAATTACGGAGCCAAAACACTTTGTTGGATGTGAGTAATAACATCTGATAAAGACGACTGTAGATCCTGGCCACAGGCAGAAGAAGATTGCATTTAATTTCCTGCTCTCTCTGAAGTTCACAGGCTATTTTAGTTTTGACAAAAGTAGATCTTTTCATGTCAAAAGGTGACTAGGTTCAATAAAACTAGATTCAAGGAAATGCGTGAGGCAGATGCTCAAGAGATCTCTTTTGCAAAGTTATGAAATTTCTTTTCCTAAAGCATGATGTAAATTTTTTACTGATTTTTTTTCTCTACTTTTTCAAGTAATTTGTGTATTTAGTTATATAATTATTTCTACTGAATTCATAACAACTTTTCCATTGGAACTTTCCATGGCATGAAAATTTTACTCAGTCTAGTTAACAAGAACAGTGGATTAAAATGTCAACACTTGTTTGTTTACAGCAATCTTAACAGGAATCATGAGTGCTGTCAATGCGGGAACTTTCCTTCACTGATGTAGAAGCTGAAGCCTGTAGGTCTGACAGAAAACCTACAATATACTTGTGTTCTCTGTTTTTTTTCCCCTAATGCTCAGGGGCAGTCTTATAAGAACTATATACTTTACAATATACACATAACAGAAAAGCAAAGCTTGAAGTGCAAAACTGTCAATTAAACATCTAAGGAAACTAATAGAGGCAACGCTCCCACTTAGATCGCTAATGTGATTTTCAGGTTGCTTTCCCTTAAAACTGATTTTGTTTCTGTACCCACTTTTCCTGCTTATTCATCTGCAAAATGGTCTAATATTCTCTGGTCACCTTTCAGGCTATACTGTTCAAAAGATAGTATTTCTTAAGAAAACAGAAGCGTGAGCGATGAGGACTAACGCAGCATTTCAGATGGAGAGTTGCGATCAATGCGATGTTAGCATTAACTTCAGCAAGGCTAGGGTTGCACTCTTGACATCCTAGAAGAGAGCGACGATGTCTGGCAACGAGACATGATTCAAAAGCAACACATCAGTGGTATTCAAAAACATTTCTTGTACCTCACCGTAAGAAGGAATTCATAGTGGCAAACACAAGCATCAGCAACACTAAGGAAATCTAGAGAGACTTCTATTCATTTTCACAATACACTCAGAGCACTTCCAAAAAGTCTGCAATATCTAATACTGCAATAACAATGCCCATTCTCAAATCCCTTACAGAAGTAGAGACTAGTAGGTTTGCACGGTAATCAAACACGTCAACAAAATGATAAGGTATGCACATAAGAAAAAAACCCCACAAGTCTTTTAGGAATCTTTACGAGTTTATTTTTGCTTAATACGTTTGTAACTTCTAAACCGAGTTACAACGGACATAGAAAACAGTTCAATCCAAATAAAAGTTTCTCAGATCTATAGAAGCTGAACTGTGCTCGCCCCTTATGTCTCCTTTGGACATAATGGACCAGACCATGCCTAAGTTTAATTAAAATCTAGAGCTGCAGAAGTCGATAGCTCTGCAGTCAGCTGATGTGCAGCTGCTGAGATGCCTCAATACAAGTAGCAAAAGAAAGGGTAGAAAAAACCCGTCAAACTGTGGACTGCAAAATAAGCAGACAAAAGCTCATTGCCTTCAACAGCACATCTGAGCCCTTCTGTTTGTCCCTACCGCTCCCGGGGGAAAAGGGCTGCGAAGTAGCATTGAGCTCTTGAGTAAACAGGACGCTCTCCGGAAAAGCCGTGTCTCTCGCAGCCTGGACCTTCAGCCGTGTGCCCGGCGTGCCCTCCCCATCACAGAGGGATTTTTCACAGTCGGCAGTCAAGGTCCCTAGGGGAGGGAGGTGAAATACACCACCAGCAGCTGTAGCTCACTGACTGGCAATTTGGAGGCAAATGTTTAAGAACCCTCGGGCAAAGCTGTTTCATTCACAAGGTGTACGCGCCTGTGTGAGTATTTACATGAACTCGCATCCATGTTCTGAAGGAAGCATTATATCTCCTCCAGTTCGGAAAAGACTGACTTTTCAGAAGCTCCCATTTGGCACCTTTAAGGACTGCCTGCGGCTGCCCGGCTCCGAGCCCGCCAGCCCCCAGCAGGGATGTAGTCGCGCAGCGGCGGAGTTCTGAACCACGGGCTTCGTGATTTCAGCGTGAAAAGCGGCCGGGCTTTCTTTGCCTTTTTGTTTTTTTGGAAGGAGTAACAACGGCTGACACCTTTTGTCCTGTGAGCTACCGCGCGTTAGGGAATGATTAACGAAAACCTGCGAAGGAGGGGAAAATAGTGAGCATAGGCGGTGGTTAGTCCGGACTAACTCTTGCTGCCGGCTACCTGTTGAGGTGGGTTTACGCAGGCGCTTCGTTCTTTCTGTCTTTCCAAGAGAGTTCATTTAAGCCCAGCTGGACCTGCCTAGCGCCGCTCCAGCCGTGCTGGAAGACGCGACTTCCGAGTCTCCCTAGGAGCGAAGGCAAAAAGCAGAAAGAAGTTTTCTGAGGTGGGGACCGGGGCCGGGGCCGGCTCCGCTCCGCTCCCTGCCCGCG